ACCTGTTTTTACTGTGATTTTTGATTATAATTTAACCAGAAATAAAAGAGTTGATTCAAAACACAAAATGAGTGTAAATTCAGAGGTGTCGGCGTAGTTTTTTGTATAAAAAGTTCTTCTCATACAGGAAAAAATACTGTATTTAGTGTAAAGTATAACTGTGATTTGCCCTTTAAACAGCTCACTGTGAGAACTTTAATCTGTCTTTAAAAAAATGAGCCGTAGAAACGGACTCTTTTATTTTTCTCTGTGTCCTCCTCTCTGCTCCTCCGTGCCATCTGATGAAGACGAGGCATAATTGACTCAAAGCTTAAACCTTTGCCTGGGAGACAGCTTTGATTTCACAAGTAATGGAGCGACAGAGAGGAGACACGAGAAGGACTGAAGCAGACACCAGGGAAGGAAAGCAACTTTTTCCACTCCGTGTTTGGGATGCTGGATGGAAACAGGCCTCTTTCTGAGATGAGCCACAAGATGGCGCTATAAAGTAGCTTGCAGCTCAGCACCACACTGGCTGGGATGGAGAAGTTGCCCTTGTTTTTTTAAGAGGGGAGGGATGGAGCTACCTTCAACTGAGGCCTTCGCTGTGCTGCTTTTTCCCCACTACTGGCCCGACCGCATCACTGATGCACTCATGGTCTCCTCACAAACAACTCATGTAAACTCTGAGTCATCCGTGGCATCTTTGATACTGTTACTGTTACTCCTACTGTCTTACTGTCATCTGTCAGCTGTCTTTTTATCTGGAAAGTCACGGGGAAGTGACAGGTGGGAAATGGTCCGTGCATCCAAACATACATATGCATGAGACGGGCATCCCGTAGCTAAAGATGGACCTGTTGCCATCCGAAGTGTGGGTTTTGTGCAGACACACGGTGGTGGTGTTTCCTCTCCTGTCTATGCTGCATTAAAAAGTGTGCATTGTCAGATCTTTAAAGGGCCGCCACGTTAACGCGTGGCGCTTCGATTCACAAAACAGCAGCAACAGTAACACTAACACTGCAGTGAACTCCTGAGTAAGCATGTGTGAGCAGGAAAGCCCGCACTCCCAAAGTTCCAAAAATAGATCCACGTGCACGTGCCGAGCATGATAAAGCTATCAACCTAAAGTTAGGATTCCTCAAATACACGATGAGACAGACGTTTCCCGAGAGACCCACAGAAGAGAGCGCCTGTGTGTGTGTGCAGACTATAGGCGGGTGGGGGTGGAGTCGGGGGCTGGTAGACACGAGTGCATTTGGTATTCAGCCGTGCCTAGTATTTATCTGTCTGCTAGCTGTCTGGTCTGGTCTGGCCTGTTAGTGGTGTCACCCTGCGTGCTCCCCAGGGGACTAAATTGACGCTCCAGACAGACTGTGCATGTGTGCGCTTGCATTTTTGTGGTTGTGGTGGTGGATGGATGCGGGTTGCAAGAGGGTGAATCGATGTGTGTCTGTCTGTGGATGAGAGCTTGTCTGGGAAGTGTGCATGGCTGTGACCTCAGATCAAGACATAAAAAAAAATTATAAAAAATGGTCTTTAGTGCATCGATATCGTTGCTTTACCTGACAACACAGCAGCGCCACAATTTGTTGCTTCAATACAATTATGACAGCTGCCAGGCGTTTGTAAATTGTTTCAGGGTCACACAGTCTGTTCTCTTCCAAAGGTGTCAGTCCACTCGTAGAGGAGTGTAGAAGCCACTGTCAAGGAAAATATTTTTGCATGATTGGATATAGAACTTGGCTAGTGATGCGGCACTTAATGCAGAACATCTGTCGGAGGTCTTTGCTTTACCCATTTACTTATTTTCCTTCACAGAGGTCCATTTCGTTTTATTGCCTTCAGTTACTGATGTCTTCAGAGTGAAAACGGTCAAACCGCACCCCCTCTGAGCAGGCATTTCTCATTTTTCACTCCCAGCACACACGATATGTGATGTGATTTTCTCCCATGGCATTTCTATGATTTGCTGCAGAAGTGGTGTGCAAGAGAGCAGGCCTGTGATCAGAAGAGCCATTCCTATATTATTCCCTCTTTGCTCTATTTTCTTGGAATGCCACCTGGAAGAGCTTCATTCGTCCTGTAAAATGGTCCGTGGACCATCATGAGGCCATGCAGTTGGTAAAAGGCTGTAAGCCTGGCCCGCTCATTACTCCAATCATCATCTCTGGTCTTTCATATAATTACTTGTTGCCAGTTCATGCTTTCCATGTGCACAGACTGATGAGGTTCCATTTACACTAGAACAGGTCACACGTCCATCTGCTACATTTATTTTTTTCCCCACATAAATGGCAACTTTGTGAAGCTAATGTCCAAGTAGTAAAAATTGCAGTTCCTTTAACATCCACTTGAGGCTGTATCCAAAAGTGAGTCAGTCCCCATAGACTTTTGTGTTAAAATGCCCAAAGTCATCCATCAAAATGACTTTGTACTGGGATGGTGTGGAGACCAGTGTTGCCATTCTGATGGACAGGTATGCCAACAAAAGTATTGGTAGCTGGAAGCTGTTTGCTCGGTTTCAACTACACTAATTCAAGTCACTGAATTAGACCACCTGATTGTTTTTGTGCTGTTGGTACCTTTTGGAATTATCTGACCAATAATAAAAATAAATAGCATGCTCTGCAGTACAAGCCAACCAAAACTCAGTTTTGCTGATTGAGGTTCTCTTATTTTATTGCAGTTACTTGACTGTCAGACATTTACACATGTTCATAATGGGCATGAGGTCATGGTAATTTTAGGTGTTTCTGGAGAGGAATGATTGTAAAGCATACACATTTAATGACTTTAAAGAACAAGTATTGGGTGTTGGGTGCACAAGTTTGTGTAAATTGGAGAAAATCCAAAATAAATTCAGATTCAAAACACCACTAATATTTGGTTAAACAGCAACTTGCATCTTGACCAGATGCTTTTGGTTTGACATCAACAAACTTCTGGCATAATTCTGGCTGGATATTTGACCACTGGATGGTTTCCTGGCACAGACCTGGCTTATAAGCATAGTCCAAATAAACAAGCCTAATGCCTTCTAGAGAGAAGTATTATGGAAAGACAAAACAAAGCTATTTGTTCACAATGAATAGATGTATGTTTTATGTCTGGAGGATTATAGGTGAGGCTTTCAAACTTAAAAACACTGTACCAACTGGTCAAGCATGGTAGTGGCACCATCATACTCAGTGGCGTTTGTGCTGTCAGTGATACTGGTAGAAGTAGTAGAAACATTCTCCCACTTCACCTCAAATCAACAGCTACACAGCTGAAATTGAGGCATAATTGGACGTTAAATCAAGAGAAACATACATGAAAACTGGTTTTGGAATGGATAAAGCAGGCTAACATTAAGCTGCCAGAATGGCTTTCCAAAAGCCCTGACCTAATGAACATTTGTGGACCATGCTTAAAAATCAGGATTATGTGAAAAAATCAATCAATTACACAAAGAAGAGTAATTAAATATCCACTCAGAATTATCCTAAAAGCTTAGTGATGGCTACCAAAAGCATCTGATAAAGATAACATTTGATAAGGGATATTAAACCAAATACAGTGTACACTTTTGACACGTTTCGATAATCCAAATATGGGGATCCAAAATAAAGTAAAACTTGAGCACCCAATTCTTGTCAGAGTTTAAAGAACAGTTGAAATAAATTATGAAAAGCCCATGACATTAATGCCTAATGACTACGTGTAAATCTTTGACCTCAACTAAACATGTGTCTGTGCTTTACAGGCACATGATTTATAGATGCAGCTTGCTAACCAAGTTTGCTAACCTTAGTAATGTGATCTCTGACATGGCAGTGACCAATGTGGGAAGCCCAGAAATCTTTAAAACACAGCTTATGGTTCCAAACAGCAATAGGATGGGGAAAAAAAGTGACTTCA